AGGTGCGAACGCCTATGTTAATGAACCCCGCATGAAATCATCATTGTTTTCAACATGTCCACGATGGCATGGACGGTGTTGCGGGCCTGGCGCAAGTAAGCAACACTTCTCGACCAAAGCAAAACACTTCGTCGTCTCACTTGAGCCATGCTGCATACTCTCTCTCGCTGGAAGCTCTTCTCAGCTACGATATAAATACCCAACGGTGCAACGGGGATCATGGGTTGTCCTACCCGCGTCGGTCAGGCACTCCCAGCATGCGTGCCACGAGCGCTCTTCCTCGCGATCGCATCTGCAGAGTTGTCTGATGCGACTCGCAATTTCCGGGACATTGTGTGCCATGTGATTGGCGCATCTTCTCGTGGACGATCCCCATGCAGTGCCGTACGTTCAGGACGTACTGTATCGTTCTACATGCATACACTTTTTAGGATCAATTGTACAGCAATTGCTAAAGGTACAACTCATCGCTCAGTGTACGATGTCGCAGTACATTTCTCTGTGCCGCAGCCGTCTGCCGCACTATTTTTGCAGCGAAAGCCATGGCGATGCCGCCGTCGGTGTTGCCCAAGTATTTGAACGCGGTCAAGAAAGACCTGGCCGTGCATACATGGAACATTTCTCGGCATGTTGGCAACGCCAGGTACCTCGATGCGACGCTCCCGTTCGTCCCGACCTTCGAAGCCAAGTACGGCCACGAAGTGTCGACGTCGTTGCAGACCAAGTACTACACGATCACAGAGACTGGTCAAGCGGGGTTGGAAGCAGCGACGGCCATCCTGCATCATTTATTCATTCGAGCCACTGACCACGTTCTTGCGCACAAGCGGGAATTGGCGCCGTACTTTCGCATCCCGGCCGGACTCTGGCCAAAGATCGAGCATTCATGGACCCACCAGTACGTCGTCCCATCACATCTTTGGAGCATGACTGCATGGAAACGTCCGAGATCGAGTTGTACTTGGCTGGTGGACTTCTAATGTTCAGAACTTGATGTAGCAAAAACGACACGATCTCCGGTCGATTGGACTTTGCCTTGACAGACCAAGGGATGAAGGTGTACGAGTACAATGCAGACTCAGCGTCGTGTCTGATGGAGTGCGGGTACACGCAGGACGCATGGTCCAACTCGGCGGGGCTGGGTTCGTTGGGGCGCAGCAGCAGCACCACGTTGTTCGCGCAATTGACGGCGGCATGGAAAGGAAAGAACGTCCACGGCACGCTGCATCTTCTGTGCGACGATGACGCCGAAGAGCGATATCATTCGTTGTACATGAAGGCTGCAGCCGAAGCTGCGGGCATTTCGTGCGAGTTGATCGTTGGTGTCAAAGAACTGCACTTCGACAAGGACGGAGTCACGATTTTGGACGGACAAAACCGACCGCTGCGCAACGTGTGGAAGACATGGGCGTGGCAAACAGTGATCTGTCAGTACGAGGCCAGGAACGGGCTGACGAAGCAAGGCGCATCAGTTCACATGACACCGTCGCCTTTGGCGCGAACTGTCCAGGTCATGGACGTGATGCTCCATCCGTCCGTGCGCGTGTTTGAGCCCCTTTGGACAGTGCTTCCTTCGTCCAAAGCGATTTTGCCCATCTTGTCCCAACTGGCCCCCGACAACCCGTACTTGCTGCGATCGACCTTTGACGCGGCAGACATTGCGACTTTCAAGGGTGGATACGTTGCCAAACCAGTCATGGGTCGCACCGGGGCCAACGTGAGCATCTACAACAGCAGTGGCGACCTCATCAGTGCCACCGCTGGCAAGTGGGTTGACGACACGATAGTATACCAGGAAATCGCCCTCCTGCCGAAGTACGAAGACGACTGCTACGTGCAAGTGAACACATGGGCGATCGATGGGCAGTACGGCGGCACAGTGCTCCGTATCGACGAGTCCAAAATCATCGGACTCAACTCTGGGATTTATCCCGTGCGCGTTGTAGATAGCCACGACGACACCATAGACCATGATGAAGTAAATGCAACCTTGGCATGACAAACTATCGTAATACTCCCGTTGTATCCATCGCATATGGGACTTTTGGTTCAAGGTGTCGCACAAATATGATTAAGGAGTCGCATCAGCAGAACACAGAATATGCAGCACTCACTTCTCCACCGCCATAGTTGATGCCTTCGAGAACGACGTGGACGACCGTAGTACGTCAGGGAAGGACGAACATAATCTCCAAGATGATAAACCACCCTGCAACGCACGACTCGTCCATGGAGCATGGTGCTTCATCTCGGTCGCACTTTCCACAGGCATGAAAGAAGTTGAAAAGGGTATGATCTGCGGGTATTCGGATAAACAAATATTATCCGGATATTCCCTCTCAGTTCGAATATCCATTCTGTGGTGAAAGGAGACCGAGGAAGCGGGAGACAGGATGCACTTGATGAACATCACCCTCCAGGAGGGCGGCGCCATTACGGACGCCGTCTACGGCAACTTCTGTGGCACCAAGAGTCAAGATATTGTGTGCAGTGGAGGGACGTCCATCCGCTTGTTGCAGACGCAGTCGCCGTCAGAAACGGGAGGTGTGCTCAAGCAATTGCAGACGATCCATAGCCAGCAAGTGTTTGGTGTCGTTCGATCGCTGATGCCATTCCGTTTAACTGGCGGCACGAAGGATTACCTGGTTGTGGGAACAGACTCTGGAAAGATCACTGTGTTGGAGTATATGGTCGACTTGTCACGATGGGAAGTTCGCCATTCTGAAACTTTCGGTAAGACGGGCTGCCGTCGCATCACACCTGGGCAATACCTGGCCACCGATCCCAAAGGCCGTGCGATCATGGTTGGCGCGGTACGTCCGTGCCATCTTGCCCGTCTGTTTGTTGTTCCATGTAGCTGATCAACAGGCGCAATCTGAACGTAGGTGGAGAAGCAAAAACTTGTATACATCATGAATCGCGATGCATCCAACCGATTGACAATCTCGAGCCCGCTGGAAGCACATCGATCGCACGCTATCCACTTTGACATGGTCGGTGTGGATGTCGGGTTTGAGAACCCGATCTTTGCCATCCTCGAAGTCGACTACTCCGAACACGACGATGGATCTCTTGATGCATCTGAAGCTGTCAAGTCGCTCGTGTACTACGAGCTTGACCTTGGTCTCAACCACGTCACACGTCGTTGGAGTGAACCAGTGATGCGTTCAGCGAACAAACTCATTGCCGTGCCAGGAGGGACCGACGGGCCTGGTGGTGTCTTGGTGTGCTCGGAAGGCTGGATCGTATACAAGAATGAACGTCATCCAGAGGTTCGTTCAAGCTGTTGCCGTTTGCGTTTCATGACCGCATCTGCAGGTCCCTTGTCGAATCCCGCATCGCGCGCGCCCTGTCAACACAAACGTCGATGTGCGGTCGGAAGTGCTCATCGTAGCTTCGGCGACACACAAACAGCGCGATCTATTTTTTATCATTGTGCAGTCGGAACTCGGGGATTTGTACAAAGTCACCCTCACGTACACGAATGATGAAGTGTCGGCGGTCAAGGTCAAGTTTTTTGATACGCTGCCGCCAGCCGTCGCGCTGTGTATCACCAAGACGGGATATCTCTTTGCTGCCAGCGAAGCATCCAAGCACTACTTGCTCCAGTTCCAATCGATTGGCGACAACGACAGCACGGCCGAAGCCCACTCGTTCCAGGAATACGTGCCGAGCTTTAGCTTGCGGCGACTGACCAACCTGGCGCTCGTCGAGAGCCTCGACAGTCTGGCGCCGATTACTCAACTCTTAGTCGACGATTTGGCCAACGAACACACGCCTCAAATGTATGGCAGTGCTCATTGCGATCGTCAACGATCGACGACGTTTGCACTTCGTCTTGCTGTTCATGTTGGGAAAGCAGCCTGATGTTGGCGCTCTTTTTAGGTATGCCCTGTGCGGTCAAGGCAACCGATCGACGCTCCGCGTCCTGCGTCATGGTCTAAGTATCACAGAGGTGGCATCCTCGCCGCTCCCCCACATCGCCAAAGCCGTATGGTGTCTAAAAGCGCGTCATGACGACGCAGTTCACAAGTATATTGTTGTTTCGTTCGAAGACAACACGTTGGTCCTGGTAAAATTTCTCCATCTTTCGTGACCTTTGTGATTGATTTCTGTGTTATCGGTGGAATTTGGTCGATCGGACAAGATGGGATTGTTGTAATCTTGCCAGCGTAGCGAGTGGACACTTTGTGCGAATTGTGCTGGCTTCGATAAGTTGATAAGGTCCTTGTTGGTGTGGACTAACCCTTGGTGCTTTATATGTTTTTTTACGTGAAAAGGATGATTCTGTTGTGTCCATCACTCAATCGACGACAACCCGCGACTGCACATTCGTTTTGTCGGTAGGAAGTAGGCGAAAGTGTCGAGGAAGTAACCAACACGGGGCTCACCAAAGAAGTCGGATCCCTCCTCGTTGGCCTTCTTGCTGATGACTCAATTGTCCAAATCCATCGCCAAGGGTTCAACCACGTTCGACAGTATCACGGCGTCATGCAGTTCAAAGCACCAGGGAAAAAGGTATGGCCTTCGTTCGTCAGTGATACCTTTAGCACCAAAGTGGCGTTTGCATCCGTTGCATGGTTGCGGGGTATTGATGCATTTTGGCTTCACGTTGCAATTGCGTCGGTAGGTGATTGAAAAGTGCTCGGCGAATGCCCGCCAAGTTGTGCTGAGCATGGCTGGGGGGACGTTGATCTACTTTGAGCTGAATGCGGCGGGGGAATTGGCCGAGGTCGGCCGCACTGAAACACTTGGCGAAATTAGTTCGTTGGACATTGGACCGGTCCCCGAAGGTCGCCAGCGCTTTCCTTTCTTGGCTGTGGGGTCCTACGACGGCAATGTTCGCATCTTGAACCTCGACCCGAACAACTTGTTTGCTGACCAAACGCTGCTGGCACTCCCTGGGTCCCACCCCCACAGTTTGTGCTTTGCCCAGCTCCAGCATGAACCACACGCAGACGCGCTTGGCGGCCATGCGCTCTTTCTCAGCATTGGGTACGGACGTGTGGACGTATGTTTTTCGACTGGAATGACTATGGTACCGACGCACATCGAAACATTGGACTTGCAACGAATGGAGACCTGTTGACATGCTGCGTGAATGTGGACCTGCCCTTGATTTGTTTCGGGACGACGCCTGACTTGAAATGTCTGACGCGATGTTTAGGATGGAAAACGGGGTGTTCCAGCAGTCGCGCATAGACCCTCTGACAGCCAAAGTTCTCGACACTCGAACTCGTTTCTTGGGTGTCAAGCCCGTCAAATTGGTGCGTGTCCAAGTTCAAGGCAAACAAGCGATTTTAGGTAGCCGCTGGTCTTGCCAAGACGTTTGTTGACCCGGCAGTTTTTGTTTCAGGGTTGAGTTCACGGGGCTGGCTGAGCTACTTTTACGGCGCCAGACGCCAGTTGACTCCTCTGTCGTGCGAACCTCTGTCGTACGCAAGTGCATTTTTGTCGGAGCAGTGCAGTGAAGGGGTCGTTGCCGTCGCCCAGGACGAGCTCAAGATCCTGACACTTGATGCCCTCGGTCAAGTGTTCAACCAGCAGTTGCTCCCGTTAAAATATACCCCCCGCCAAGCGATCGTGCACAATGTCACTCGTCGTTTGTTGGTGCTGGAAGCCGACCACAACACGTTGACGGCCGACGAAAATGGTAGTTTTCCACATCCACCAAGTCGTGACGAGAACTGATGGGTGTCATGCGTAGCCAGCGTCGGATTCGAAACAGCCACGTTCCCTCTCACAGACGACGACGACGATGAAGAAAACCACTTGTTAAACTATCGTCCTCCCGTTCCGGAGGGTGCAGGTAGTGTTCTATCGTAGCATTCTCCTTCACCTTGACGACGTTGATGCACAGGCCATTGGGCATCGTGCTTGCGCGTAATCGATCCGGTGACGTGCGAAACGGTCCTGTGCCACGATTTCGACCCCAACGAACGCGCCATGTGCATGAGCACGTGCGTTTTCCACGACCGTGGCGGCGAAACCTTTTTGATTGTCGGGAGCATTGTCAGCATGAAGTTGCACACGGTACAACTGGTCCTACGGTTGTGCTGTTCAGAGTTGATGGGCCTCATATGCTTGGCGTTCCATAGGGCACGAAAGTGACGCAAGCCGGGCAATTGCGTGTGTACCGCTTGGTGGAAGGCACGTCTATGGTGCTGGTGCACACGACCGAGTTGGATGGGATTCCGTACGCCATGTGCGAATTTCAAGGGCGACTGTTGGTGTCGGTTGGGAAGATCCTGCGAATTTACGACCTCGGCAAGAAAAAGATGCTCCGCAAATGCGAAAACCGCAACTTTCCGTCGACCCTTGTCAAGCTCACGACCGCCGGCGCCCGCATCTACGCGTCAGATAACCACCACTCGTTCCACTTTGTTCGATACCGGGCCGACGACAACCAGCTCGTGATTTTTGCCGACGATTTTGTTCCGCGGTGTATTTCTGCGTCGACGTTGGTGCGTGCAGTCGAATGTGCCCTTGGAAGCGGTTGACTGATGCCTCTTGGACAGGTCGACTACGACACGATGGCGGGAGGCGATAAGTTTGGCAACGTATTTGTCGCGCGGCTGCCATCTGAGGTGTCGGACGAAGTGGAAAACCCCACGGGCAACCGCATGCTATGGGACGCCCATCTCTTGAACGGCGCCCCCAACAAAGTCGAGCAGGTAATAGAAGCCGAGGTGGTTGCCTTGATTGAGCTCCCTTGGGGTTTGGTTTGAGCAGGGAATCGCTCTCGATCCCTTGAACTCGACTGTGCCAAGGATGGATGAGCCGCGCAGAGTTAGTTGCTCATGCTGTCTCTGCCATAGGTGTGCCAATTTTACGTTGGCGAAACGATCACGTCCATGGTTCGCACGAGATTGGTGCCCGTCGGCAAAGAAGCTATCGTGTACACAACCGTGATGGGCCGCATCGGCGCGCTCATTCCGTTTTCATCGCGTGTGGATGTGGATTTTGCCACGCACTTGGAAATGTCTGTGTGTTTGCCCATCTTTTTGATTTTCACACGTGCGTGTTGTAGGTACATGCGTCAAGAAGCGCCGCCTCTGTGCGGGCGAGACCATTTGAGCTTCCGATCCTACTTTATCCCGGTCAAGGACGTGGCGGACGGCGACCTGTGCGATCAATTCGGCATGTTGTCGGCGGAAAAGCAATTGAAGATCGCCCACGACATGGATCAAACCCCCATGGAGGTGCTCAAGAAGCTCGAAGACATTCGCAACGGCTTGTTGTAACAAGTTCCCATGTTTCATCGATATCAAAGAGGGTTTTGAGTTCGTTCCACCGAGTGTGTCGTGACTCGGTGCAGGGTGTGGGGCAGCACACGAAGGAGGTGGTTCCGAGGAAGCGCGACGCGTCATCGCCTTTTCTCAGGCAGGTACCTCCTCTCGAAGGAGTCCAATCCCGCCGGATGGACTCAACCGATGAACGTCCTGGAGCTGCGTCTCCATGCACGGCAGACATGTGCCAAGCTCGAGAATCGGAAGCATCGTTCGGGGGACGGCCGCTGTCGCCCGCCCTCTGCTCTCGTCGTGGACAGAAGATATATTCGAAGCTACTTGGGGTGCGCTTTTGAAATTTTCACGACGAGAGAAGCCGGCGAAATTACAAATACCGGGTAAATACCTGTTACTTGCCCAAAACGGGAGCCCAGGGCAGTGCAACCCTCTTGAGGACCCACAAAGTGATGGTTTTCATCGACACAAACTAAGCAGTCGAGGAATGAATTGAGAGCCACGACTGTGTGCCGCATTGGCGCGGTGCCATCGAGGAGAACACTGAATGATGTTGCAAGCATGACGCTCGAAGATTTGATTGGATCTTCGAGCATTCCCGATCCCACATTCACGTCGCGAAATACCCGGTATATAATTGAAACACCGGGCGGATCGTGTCTACGTTTCGGTTTGCCATGCACTTGAGAGTGAACGCATCGACATTGTAGACATTTTCCGAGCGTTTTGTGTCGTAGGCAGAATCGATCCAACAGCACTGCTTGCCCTGCCCTTGAATGACGCATGACCTCTTGAACCTTCTTGACTGCCCGCCGAAGTCGTCGATGGGCGACGTCCATTACCATCGTGGCGGCATCGTTGAGAGCCATTGAGAGTGGCTTGTCCCACGCTCGCCTTCAACAATTGGCCAAGTGTGAACCCACTTGGCCTTTTCGCATTTTGGCAATTGCATTTCATCCCTGCTGATCGGAACTAGTTCGCCACCGCTGCGATGGGCATCTATTACACGATGAAATGCTCGACGCTGCTCGAGAAAGTCGGGATCTCCCGCAAGTACATGGCGATCGAAGTGCGTCCGCACGACCAAGCGCTAGTGTTCCTCAACACCAACACCAGCGTCGCTGTCGACGACATCACGAAAATATCGTGGGAACCCAACTTGAAGCTCAAGATGGTGCTGTCGCCGCGCGACAAAGTATGCGTCAAGTTTGAAGGCGCTAGCGACCTCCGTGCATTTTTGGGCGACCTGAACCTCGACATTCCAGTCTTATGCGACACTGGCGGCGGCATCTGCGCTGGCAGCTACACGCCACGAACCATGACTGGTGTCCGGCCAACCGAGCGCGCGTCCGAGTTGCTCGGTACGATTATGGAAAACATGCGCACACATTCAAAGCGAAGAAATTCCAAATCGTACACGTTCGATCGAGGAGCATTCAGTGCCGCCACCACGCGCGGGTCCCTCGAATTCCGTGGCCCCACAGCAGGCAGTGCCGGCACATATTAACTATTTAAATCCAAGATGAATTATGTCCATTTTATTGCATTATTTTGCATTTTTGCACTGGCGAATCGCGCTTTGCCATGGGTGTACTACCTCTGTCCCGTCCACTTTCGACAATCTCATCGACCCAAGACAAATTGGTCGAAGGAGACGTGCCATTCATTTACAGAGCATTCATGGCTCTCGGGTGGCAGCGTCTGGGCCAAAATCTATTTGGAATGCTGATGACATTGCACACCACCTACTGATATCCCTACACTTACTCTCCTTGACTAATTGTTTTAAAGAGGTTTTGGGGTTAAGTTTGTGGAAAGTAGTTGATGGACACCCCATTTAAAATGGATAAAATTGTACTACGTAGAGCATACACCGCGACAATCGAAACCGCGGTCCGACGTATTTTAATTGTCTCCATAAATAAAATGGGCTTGATTTTGCTGTATTTTTAGTGTGATTGGATAATTGTCTCGTCAACGAAAATACACAATTAAAACCGAATTTCGAACCAAAAGATTTCGTTGACGTCGATGGAAAGGAGCTCGCATGCCGCTGTGGAGCTTGCCGTCGTGGGATAACTGCTCAGAGTCGTCGGACCATGCATCCATGGATGCGCTAAAGCACAAGGACGCTGACGACGCCGTCTCATCAGCATGCTACAGCGACACGAGATTTTGGACGCGATCAACCCGCTCGGACAAAGCCGATAACCAGCAACCGCAGGAACTGCCTCTGTGCACAGAACTCCATCGAATTCACGAACGGTTCGAATCCTTACGCCTTCAGCTCGACGTCGAGAGAAGAACGGTAGCGCCACCACCTCCGCAACAGCCATGGTTTCCACGGGATTCCGGAGTGCTAATGCAGCACCCCATTCGACGTCGAGCGCAACCTCCATCGAAGAACTCCCCATTCATCGAGACTGGAAATCACGCCCACTCGAAAATCCCATCTATGTCAGCGGAAAGCAATACTTTCTCGTCGCCACATTCATGTAAGGAGATGGTTGCGACCACCATGCAAGCGACCGTGGACAATGGTGCTAAGTCCACAACCACCGCCCGCCCAGTCGTCGTTCATCAGAGCACCAACACCGACCAAGACTCGCGAACGCACATTTCACTCGTCAAAGCGCAAACGACGCAAACCCAGACCGATTTTCAGGACTCGTGGCTGGAAAAGATCGCGGCCCTGGATGGTGTGGTAAGCGCGTTGTCGTCGAAACTTAATCAACAAACCGACGCTGCCGCACTCGCGATGTACGTGGCATGGCTGAGTGAAACAATGCAGACAGCTGTGGCGACTTTGCCGGTGTCTATGGAGCGATCCCCTCGCAAGGAATCGGCAGAACTTTGTCAAGACATATCGACGCTGCGGCCGCCGCGATTTGACTCCCTTCAAGTTCCAGCGCATTCTGCCGGCGCCATGACCTCGATTGAGTCATCTTTGACAACGTAAGCGCTAGTGGGTCACTTTTTTCGGCCGAGAATCCGGCCCCGATCGCGTTGAGCTTTGCGTGGAGTTCGTTCGATTGGACCAGTTGCTACATCCTGCTGTGCGGCGACCTTGACAAGTTGATCTCAAGGAGTTCTCTGGTTAGGCTGGTCAAGTGGTGTCACACGAGCTACGATAACCACACGCGTGTGGTGCATCACGTCAAGAACAGCGCAGCCAAGAGATACCAAAAAGCAGCCCATGAAGCAGCCACATTCCAAGGCAAAGTACGGTGTCATGAAAACCGACCATGCTCCTTGTATCCGTCCATGTGAACTGACGTTGCAATAGTGGGAAACTGCGCTGCGAACCATCCATTCGCTGCAGGACGAGGTGCGAGCGGTTTGCCTCATGGCCATCATACCAAATCGTACGTTGCTTGCTGTGTTTAGAGGAATGCTCTGCAAGCTCAACTGCACGGGCAAGTGCTGCGAACGGCGGCCGTGGAAAAGGACCTGCTCGTCACCCAGTGTATGTAGCCGCCGCCGATCTTCCATCGCCGTCTCATGCACCATCCGCCACTAGTGAAGGTGACGACGCTGGAACAACAGTGCCGAGACCTGCAAGACCAGCTTCGACTACAGGAACTGGCTTGGAAGGAGGAACTGACCAAGGCGAGTCCGTCCTCTGGAATTGCCGGGTCGCCACCGCTTCCATTCGCCACGAGAGAACATGTTGCCAAAGGGCACGCAGCATGTCTGCCACCCTGTGAGCAACGCCGTCGTTCTGCGCAGTTGGAGCCCGCACTTCTCCCAAAGAAAATCACGGACGACGGACCCGAGGAATCCAATGATCCAGAAAGAAACGAGTGGTGGAAAGACGACGAACGGTCGAGTTGTGTGGACGACGACCGCCAGCCAGAGCCTCGGACGCTCCAGTTGCCCCCACCCGTTCCCCCGATGCGCACGATCTTTTCCGCGGCCTCTCGACCTCAGTCCGATACTCGTTTCATCTTGCAACGTCCGGACAGCCACACTCGCATGCTGCTCGAGTACCTCCACAGCGCATCGAATGCATCACAACAGATCCGACGCCAAGATCGACATGTCCAACGTGCTTGCGAAACAAGCCGCGACCTCTGAGCTCTGGAAAGCCGCCTCCGTGTTGCCTCGGTTCATGGACGTCGTGGGGCTTGACATGGCCCAGTCCATTCATGAACGAACCGGCCACAACGTTGAAGCATCAAAAAATTCCGCGAGCTTGGCATCGTCGAGACAGGTCGAGCTTCCACTGACGGGCAGGGGGCGTGGAGGCCAACACCAGTCGTTCGTGGAGCGACATGAGCAAACGAATCACGCGAACGAAGTGTCGTCATCATCGGAGTCAAGCACCACTCGCGAGGATGCTGCTTTTGAACGCGTCGATCTCGTGGCGTGTGTCGAAAATGGACATTTCGCTTGTTTATGCTGGTGACTTCACACAAAATTTGCCGAATCTCGAACTCGGTCGTGGTGAGGCATGTGAGAACGTCGGGAGGATGCCGACGCAAACGATGAGCAGGAAGCGACTGCGACGGTGTGCGCTACAGGAGTCGCTCCTCTAGAAAACGTGCCGATCAAACGATTGTGTCGCTATTCCACTGCGGCACTGTCGGCCTGGAGATCGACTACGAAGACGTGCAACAGCCCTTCGCAGGACATAGAAAGTATCGCCGCCAACTCGATCCAGCAAGGCGTGGTATCGACGTCCGTTGCTCTGGCACGAAGCTGTGAGCCTTGCAACCGTGTCGAGTTGCCATGTGGTCACGCGCCATGGGATGAACATAGTCGACGTCATGCAGTAGAGAGAGCTCCAGTCAACTTCATCGGTTCATTTCGACATTTTCGACATGCCTGCGGCCATTCAACATGGCGATAGTGTGGTGGGCTACGCTCTGTCCCTCACTCGATTTGTTGTTGTTGTTTTCTTTTGGTGGGTCCACGGCGGCATCGAGCAAGTTGAGGATTCATGTCCACCCCGGTCATCTCTGCCGACCGTTCTCTTTGCATTCAACAAAGACGATGGCCGTCACTCGAGGAGCTCTGCCTCCGTCTCATCGATCAGGACATCCGCGTGAGTGATCATGTACTCGACGACGGACTGCATGAGGTCGCGCTCGCCTGCTTGACCATCGTCCAATTGGTCGTCTTGTACGTGCCGGCGAAACACAAATCGAGTAAAGAGCTTGGCGAGGACGGCCGCGGTCAGTTTGTTTTTCGTTTCGTACACGGTCACGTCGTTCCAGTGGAAGATCAGAAACGCCACCATTTTGCTACAGCCATGGCGTGAGACGTGTGAGGACGCCACGGATGGACGTACAAGGGCTTTGGAGGGAGAGTGGCCAAGACATTCTTCAGGTTCCGCAACAGTTCAAACGGGGCATGCGCGCCTTCGACCATCACTTGCCGAAAGGCCTGGTACATTTCAACCGGAACAATCGGCCCCTCGAGCTGCTCGAGCCACACCATCACAACTGCGCCAGCTGACACAACATCGAGCACGTCTTCCCATTCGTTGCGCGTGGGTTTCCGTTGCTCAATGGCGCACGAGTTAAAAAACGTCACAACGGCCTACCAAGTTCCACGTGCGCGTGAGGTCATGACCAAGTCAGGTCATGTTGCGTGTGACGAGTCCGAAGACGTCGTCCCGCGGCAATGTCGTTCTCACAACGCAGCAATTCCCCACCTGCAATCGGGCTGGCGGCGGAGGATCCGCGGTATAGAATCGCTCGGTTTCGATCCCTGGAAACGACTCGAATATGTACTCGATGGCGAGCACGATCGCTTTGGGGACTACATCGTGTGGCAAAGTGAACACCGTTGGCGTTCCCGAGGTAATCCGGGCGTCTGTCGGCGACGTTTGGTGGAGTGGAGTTGACAATGGCGCGGCCGAGGCAGTCGCAGCACCCAATCCTCCAAGGACAGCTTTCTGTCGAATATTTTGGGTCACAAGAGCTTTCAAAGATCCTGCTCCATGCACGCGTTTAGCATCACCAAACTCGACGACGTCAGCAATACCTCCACCACTGGCATTGCTCACGTTGGTGCTGCTGTTCCGCCGACCGTTCACGGTATCTGGTCTCGGGCTGTTAACGCTGCGGGTCAAGAGCGAATCGAGCATCGTCACCCACGTCACAGTCGTCTGCGGCGAGTCAGATACGAGGCAAAACTCCCTCGTCGCAGCTTTCGGGGTGGTCTTGGCAGGTTTGTCTTTTTTATCTTCGTCGCCGCTTGAAAATACCCCTTCGTCGTAGTCGCCCGTGTTGGACGCGATCGTCGCACTCGGAAGGCGGCACGTGATGTCGAATCGGCAGCCTACGTGCACAATCGACTTCATCTTGCTCATCCGCTCTTGAGGACATCCCACCTTTGTACTTGGGATGGCTCGGCTTGGAGATGCGTTGAATCGATCGCAGCGAGATGCACCCGAGTTCACCCAATGGAATCGGACCCCATCCGCTTTGAACGACATCCGAGTAGTAGCGCATTTCATTTGGGTTCTTGAATAGCACAAAGTAGCGCGAGTTCCACGACTTGAGGCCGCGAATGCCCTGCAATACATGCCTCTCCCTTAACATCGCGAACGGATCTCACGCGGCGGCATCGATTGCCGACACCTCTTCGAGGATTCCAACGTACCCGCCGTTGCTTTTGGCGGAGCCAGCCTTCCAGTAGCACTCCAGAGCCAGGAACTCCAGCGATCGCTCCTCCAAGGGCACCTCGGCCCGGGCTCAATGCGCTACACATGTCAGTATGAGCTAACGTCCTGCGAAATGTGTTGTCTATCGCCATGGAACTATCGATGGCGATAGGCTGGAATCACAATGTACGTACTCCATTACGTTCTGCTGGAAGGCATCGTCTGCTTCGTCTTCTGGCGTCGGCGCCAGCGATGCTTCGGAAGACGACGCCCGCAGCATCATGCGCGAAGAGTGCCGTCGTTGCAAGGATGCCCCGCCACCGGCAGGGGTGGTCGAGCTCGTGGATGGTGGAGAAATCGCTGTTTCTAGAGAAGATGGATGATGTGCCAAGCCGACGTCGTCGTGGGCTTGATTGACCGGTGGAGCAGAGTCTTCCTTGAGCTGCTTTGAATGCTTTGAGCGAAATGGCGACATGATTTTTGTCTTTTGAACGAGTTTTTGAAATCCCGACACCGAAGGAGGTCGATGTTTATCTACAGGGGCAATGGGAGGTCCCGTCGGCGATGACAAATCCAGCGCAGGCGGAGGTGGCGCTTTCTCGATCGGTGTATTTCCTCCACGACTGGGCAAAAACGCCGACGCGGATGCACGCCGATTGAGAGTGGTAGTTGACGACGACGCTGTAGAAGAGGCTTGCAGCGATGACATCGATCCAATTTGATTGTTTGCGTGAGTGTTCTCGCCACCAGCACCACCCTCGTCGTCGGAATCGGAATACCATTTCTTGGACGAGGCTCGGCGCACGAGGCTAGGTGCAGCTGACGCCGTGGACATCGACACAGTAGGCTGTATCTTGGACTTTTCGTCGTCCGACACGTCCGACCCAAACGATTCCTGGTGCCCGCCTTTCGCCGCCGGCACCGCAAGTTGTCGCCGCGACATGATCCATTTGGCGTCATCGTTCGATATTTTGCAGGGTATCCGTATCCGGATAAAGATCTTTCCCCACTCAAACATCTCGGACAGCGCACAGCAGCAGGGCCAACATCACGAGCACCCGTCGACTGCGCCATGGCCGACCATCGTGTCCGCGCTCAAATGCGCGCTTCCTTTCATGTGGTAACGTGTGAGTGCACCGACTACACGGCAGGGGACCCCAGACATCGACGGTCCGGCCCCACGTTGCCTTCCGCCATGCTTGGATAGTCCACATATATCGTTATATGAAATTGGATCCAGAGCTAGCTCTACCTAATAATAATACACTCGCCTCCCACCTATCATCTATGATATCTCCAGCTCTTCTCGGTCAGTCAGCGCGTTGGTCGCGCTGCTGCTGCTGCATGTGGCATCTCTACCACGAACTGTTGTCGGCGCCGCCGCCGGATCGGTCGCCGTAGCCACCACCGCGGCTTTCGTAGCCTCGGTTTTCGTACCCGCCACGGCTTTCGTAACCTCCACGGCTTTCGTACCCGCCACGGCTATCGTACCCGCCTCGGGCTGCGCCACCACCGCCTTCTTTTCGGTAATCGCGCGCGCCAAAGCGAGACGAGCCCCCACGTCCACCGCCACGACCGCGGCCGCCGCGTGAACCGCCATACGACGACATTTGGCCAAGCCACGACGGGCACTCTTGGCCGTTTTCGACCAAGAGTTCGTGCAATTCCCGCACAATGTTCGAGTTCTTGTCGTTCACCATCGAGAGGGCGTTCCCGACATTCCCGACGCGACCGGTACGCCCAATGCGATGGACGTAGTCGTCGATGTTATTGGGAAGGTCGTAGTTGATCACTTGGGTCACGCCACTGATGTCGAGCCCGCGCGCCGCCACGTCGGTTGCAACGAGGACGGGGGTGCGCCCCGAGCGGAACGACGCAAGCGCCGCTTCACGCTCGCGCTGGGTGCGGTCGCCATGGATCGACGTGGCAGGAAAGCCTTCGTGGCACAGCATGTCTTCGAGAAAGTCGGCATTGCGCTTGGTTTCGACAAAGATCAAGATCAGTCCGTCCTGCACTTCGTTCAGGAAGCGGACGAGGTAGTCTTGTTTGTCCTGTTGGTCCACCCACACCACAGTCTGCTTGACGTCCTTGGAAGCGGCGCCGACGCGCCCGACCGTCAAGAAAATGTAGTCGCGCAAAAAGTCCGACGCCAGACGCTGGATTTCGCGGGGGAACGTCGCTGAAAACATAAACGTTTGGCGCTCGCGGGTCATGTCTTCTTGCTCGACGATGCGGCGGATTTGAGGCTCGAACCCCATATCCAACATGCGATCGGCTTCGTCCAAGATCAAAAATTGGATTCCGGCGAGCGACACGCGGCCGCGCTCGATCAAGTCCACCAGTCGCCCGGGCGTCGCGACAAGGAGATCGACGCCACGTTCCAAGTTGCGCAACTGCTGGCCGACTTCCGCGCCACCGTACACGACCACGGGGGCAATGCCCGTGCAGTAGCAAAACTTTTTGGCTTCGTCGTAGATCTGCGACGCGAGTTCACGCGTCGGTGCGAGAATCAAGGCGGACGGGAAAAATTTACGGCGGCGGCCGCCCGCGCTGTCGTCGTCGAGGCCACGAGCAGGGCCGTTTCGAAGCATGGACGCCAAGGTGGGAAAGAGGAAGCCACCCGTCTTCCCAGAACCCGTCTGGGCACACGCCATCATGTCGCGACCGGCCAACCCGATCGGGATCGAGTACTTTTGAACCGGCGTCGGCTTGGTGTACATGCAAAGCTTGAGGTTGCTGCACACTTCCGGGCCGAGTTCTTCTTCATTGAACGAGGTGATCGGGGGCGGCACGCCATCCCCGCTCGTTTCGACGGGAATGTCGTCGTACTAATGAAGACACACGAGAATTGGACATGGAGCGTCGAGAACTCCGACACGAGGGTACGTACGTTGTCAAAGTTGATCCCGGATGACTGGCAGTCGCCAAACAATTCTTGTTCCAAGCGAGAGTTGGGCGTCATGTCGCCGTGGAAGCCAAGACGGTTCTTGCGGGGGCCGCCGTAACCGCCACCACCACGACTGCTGCCGTAGCCGCCACCATAGCCACCACGGTCACCACCGTAGCCACCACGATCACCACCATAGCCACCGCGATCACCGCCGTAGCCGCCACCTCGAGAATAGCCTCCTTCGTCGCGGCTCGATTCAAAGCCCGACCAGCGAGAATTGCTCACGGGCGGTTCGCGGCGTCCGGCGTCGCGTCCACCATAGCCGCTGCTGCCGCGTCGGTCTACCGAGTACCCTCCTCGGTCGCTGCCTCGGTCGCTGCCGCGGTCACTGCCGCCGTCGTTTTGGCCGCGCAAATGAGGCGGCACATAGCGTGATCGTTGTTGGTCTCCGTTCATTAAAAAATAGTATGGTCGAAATGGGGTGGTGGTTGGGAAGATCAGTGTTTTAAACGTCTCGTTTGGCGCGTCGCAGCGCGATCTGCGAAGGAATGGGGTGTTTGAAACACATTTGAAACACTTTTGAAACACATGTCCAAAAACCATTGGTTCCCCGACTCTGTGCGAGAATGACGGTCATGTCACTGGTCCGACAGAATCGGGAACAGCGGCGGTGGGGGCCTTGCCACGTAAAGGTGCGCGCTCCAGACTGAGCTTGTGGTCATCGTGGCTGCCAGCTTGGCCGAGACTGCCGACCCTACACAACGGTGTCCGCTTGCTTCAACCTGATAGCATGGCGTTTATACCGCAGAGAAACCACCACACCGACGATGTCGTAGCAACTGCAGTGACACGGAGGATGCTGACGCCGCATGCGAGCTCGTTCAAATTACATACAATCCTCTTTTCTGGCCGTCGATGGCACTCTACGAAGGCGTGCAGTCGATCCAGAAGGCAAAAGGCGACAAATGGATCAGTTACGACTGCGACCGCTTCTCCGGCCAGGAAGGTCTGGGGGCCGATAGACCTCGAGCCAACTACATGGCGCAACTGTCATTTCAGGTTGAAATCGTCCTCACGGTGATATTCAGCAGCAGGTCATCCATCGCTGACGGCCGTTGCTGACTCAGATGGGGGATGAAAACATCTCCAAGAAACGTTGGGAGACTTGTTGCTTCACCAGTGGTTGTTGGCCAGACGCGGAGGAAATTCAATGAGGTTCCCATACTCGAAACGACGTCCACACACGACGACAACCATGCAAACGTGCCGCTCGGTAGAGTGCACGTGCAGCAGTTCGCGATGCCACCGACAGTTTGGATTCAACTGACGACGGAAGTCCTGAGATATGCCACTCGATGCCCATGTGAAGGAGCCATCACAGCGCTGCGCCAAACAACCGCCTCTAGACCCAACCTCCATCCTTTGCAGTGGGTTTTCTTTAGGTTCGACGATAAATGCTCCAACTTCGATCCTTCTCAATCTGTTTCACAGCGAACGAGAACATGCGACCGAATTGCTTGAGCGCCTTGGACAAGAACAAGTTGTTCCGTTGCGCGTTAAGGATTCCAAGGTTGACGTGGCCACAACAAAAGGACTCGGCCGTCGATGGAGCCCACCTCGACGCCCCTTCGATTCCACATGCCACGGCCCCGATGGCTTCGACTGTCCATTCGTTGGTGGCGATTTCGTCGCGAGCCCCGCGGACCATCCCATTCTTCATGACACAAACAGTCAGGTCCACGGACGTCAAGAGCGTCGATGGCAGTGGGCGTCGACGCGTCGCGGAGACTATCGGGAACGCCTTCACGTTCGTGACGGCAACGACACAGGCAAATGTCGCCACTTGGACGCGTCTTGCAGGAACTGGTGGGCGTCCTCGCGGCGGAGGCCCCCGCATCCATCGCTGCCACTTGCAATGGGGACTTTTCCAGAGCGCGGTGGATGCCAAGTCCTTTTCAAAAGACAAGATTCAGGCAGTTGGGCGTGATGGCGGCAGTCGACACCGCAAGCTCGAGGCCCAACGATAGTTTCATGTTAGTGTGCGAAGGAAGAAACGGCAAGTCGAGGGAGTCGACGGCCTCGTCCGTCGTCAAGACATTTCCAGTAGTTGGTCCGAGCGGGCCGTGACGATGTCCGCGTCAGGCAGAGTGCATTGTGACGTGTCATGAACTCGCAGTCACACTGGCAAGCGACATTTTCAGCGCGGTACTTGCGAGTCCTCGCCCTTCCGCGCCAACGGCAGGTTCACGTCGGTACAAGGGCGCGCCATCAAAGCGACAGTGCTCGAGACATTGCGCAGTGTCTTGACGAGATGGCGCATTTGACAACGCGAACTGGACGAAAGGACGCAACTGCCATCTAACTTTCTCGGCAGGGATGAAGGACACGATCGCAATTGGGTTTTCAAACGCGATGCCGTCACAAATATTGCCGTACGTTTGGTCAAAGCATCGACGACGCCCGATGCAAGTTGGACAGTTGCCACAAGGTTGGCGCGACTGGCCGGTTGGAAGCAATCGCCATCGTCGACTTCAGCGGCGAACGCGGCGCGCTGTCACCCCCAACACGATGGGGTCGGCGTCCGAATGAAGAAGCGACCCTTGTACTCGCCATGGATTCGGAATCGACGCGTCCTCCAAACAACGTGCGCTCGAGTCGACCCAACTTGTAGGACACTTTATGAACGCAGCTGTCGTCTGCTACAATTTCATCCATCTCTCGACGCTGGTCCTCGGAGTTGGCACTGCGAATGCAGGCGCGATGTCGGCGGCAACCTGTTCACGGCGCCGACACAGTTGCCTCAGCCGTCGAATAGGCGCAGGGTGCGTCCAGCCTATGCAGCGACGGATGGGACAAGCCTTGCCAATCAGGTACTCGGCGGCGCTGTCGGTCCTTCTGCGGGACATGGCGCCTCTCGACGTCAGTCATGACGCAGTCAAGTTCAACTAGTTTCCAACTACTGCACACGCTTTGTTTGTTTGCCATTCCCCCTGGTGACCCCTGGGCGTTGTTCGGGCGTGATCTACGGTTTGCTTCACGGCGACCGCAGAGCGCTCAACGTGGAAGGGGACGAAGGCAATCGATTGTCTTAATGCTAGCCCATCCGATATCTCGATGGCCAACCTCATGGAGCTCCAGACTCCGTCGGCGGTGGAATTGCGAGGGACGGGTGTACCCCGTGGCGCATCGCCTTTGCCTTGACAGCACGAACGGCGAGGCCGTGTTGGGTTTTGCTACAGCTCCGTCCGCTTGGCACAGTCGTAACCAACGCTTTGTAGCCATGCGCTTTGCGTTGTATAGGCCTGCCGTGATCTGTTCGTGCAGTTCTTCGCTACAGCTCCACAGTCCCTGAAAACGTGGCTTCTGCCGGGCCGATCAGCACCACGTTTGTAAACTCGAGGTCATTTGACGAGGGCTGGTCAAAGTGGATCTGAAGCGCAGCTCCGCTCTGAACATCGACCGTGACAGGCGATGTGAATCCATGCACGGCGGCCGCAACCAGCGCAGCCGCCACCACTCCCGTGCCACATGCAAGGGTTTCACCTTCAACTCCGCGCTCGAAACTTCGGGCCCAAAGGTGATTCAACCCCACGACGTGGACAAAGTTGACGTTGGTGCCGTGAGGCCCAAAGCGCGGATGATGACGGACGTCGCTCCCTTGACGGGGCACGTCGATGGCAGCCAGATTCGCAACAAACAGCACAGCATGGGGCACCTACATCACACGCCATCTTTACCTCATGCCAGCGTAGAGTTGGCAGATTTGTGGGGTACTTACACCGATCGTGATAGAGTGCACGACGTGGGGGCCACCGGCCAGCTGCAACTTCTCGTGCAGAGTCAGGTTTGTGGGTGGCGGCAGCCGAATCGCCATGTCGCCGTTGGCAGCAAGAGCTGCCGAGACCACGCCGGCGCCGGTTTCGAACGTGATGGGATTTGTATGCCCCAGCAGCGAGTGCACGAATCGAGCAAAGCATCGAGCGCCGTTGCCACAAAAGTTGGCCGTGTCACCGTCGCATTGCCAGAATTGCCACGCCACGTCTGCCTTGCCCGACGTGCACGGGACCAGAACGAGGATGCCGTCGGCACCGATGCCCTGTTGGCGATTGCAAAGCCGAATGGCGTGTGCCGGTGTAAGCTTGATGTCGAGGCAGCGGTTGTCGATCAAGATGAAGTCATTTCCAGCCCCGTTGAACTTGGTGAATCGCACAGCCACCATCGTCGACGCTGAACGGGAGGGCCACAATTCCACACGATGTATAAGCTGGATCAATTTAGGCAGGGACTCTTGAACTGGATGGAGCTGGACGGTCGAGCGCACGGCGCGACTCCCGACAACGCAAACGCTTTCGTGGTGCCGTCCATGCGGGGCACACAGCGAATCGGCCCTGGGCACCAATCTTCATGCCAGCCTCACGTGGCTAGGGGTCGTGGCGCTCGAATTCGCCGTGGTCATGTACCCAGCATGGCAAAGCCCCTGTCCAAGCAGCAGGGCGCATCTTTGTATAGATGCGCGGGCCGTGTTCTCGCAGCAGCTGCGGGCAGCGCAACGTGGATAACCCTCCGCCCCCCGTGATTTTCCACGGGTCGATGCGCAACGTCACATGCACGAGCTCATGGTCCTGCCCTTGTTTGCCAAGACACTTGCGCACTCGTGCTGCGCGTCGGCGTCGAAACAATCGAGGTCTCCCCACAAGCTCGTCCGTCCAAGGCCCACCTCCGTCGGAGTTTTCCACGTCTGCGACCCGCCGAGAGTGTTGCGACGGATGCAACAACTCATGCTCATGTCTCGATTCGTGTCGAAGTTCGAAGTCTTCCAACGAGCGGCCGATGCATGCGAGATCGCATCATGGCAGATACGGCGCCCTCCTGCCTCTATGCACCGTCCAACGCTTGCCGAGATCACTTTACTTTGCGCTGGGTGGTCTTGCCAACGAGGGGCCGTGGGCTGAAAGGCCCGTCCTGTAGTTGTCTTGTCAACGTTGTGTAATTCGAACTTCGAACTTCTCCAGTCTCCAAGGAGCATTCGCCGCATTTGAACAAATTCCCAAAGACGCATGAAGTCAACCAAGCCGACGACACTTGTCTCCGCTAGAGATGAGAACAAGAGCTCGTTCTTCGTGATAGGAGCGGACCAGAACGACTTTATTGTGGGCAAGTGGAGCACAGGGCTCCTTGGGTGCATCAACGCCAGGTCGATGCCGACGGGTTGCATGGTGACGTTTTGCCCGTGTGTGTCGCTCGCGCAGATCGCGCACCGTGTCGGGATGTACAAGTACTGGACCGTTATCTGCACGTTTGTCGCGCTTTTCCTCGTGTACATCGGGATGGCCGCGCTGGAATCGACGGTGAGCAAGTGTATGTTTTGGCGATGTGGGTCGTCACGATCGTCGCGTTTCTCCTGATTGCGGTCGTGCGCAAGAACGTGCGCCAGCGCTTTCAAATCCCCGGGTCAGCGTGCGAAGACATCGTGTGCAGTGTCATCTTTTCGTGCTGCGTTGTCGGCCAAATGTCTCTCCACGTCGAGTCGACCGACTCGGGCGGCTTTGGCCCGAAAGACACGTTGCCTGGCTACAACGTCTGATCTGCCGTCTACGATTCTTCAACCCAACGTAGCTATGTCCTCAACTTAATTACAACTGCAGTTGCTGCATCCAAATCGACTTGTCCGTTGTCGCAGATGCCATGGCAACGTGGCGGTAGACAAACTCTAGCCTCGCCTGACTAGTTGAGGCGAAGGCCGCGCCCAACTGTGCCTTTGGCAACTTGACTGCCAAGGCATATCAGGGCATTTCATCCTGCATGAGAGCTGGGCAGCACCGGAAGGTGGCAGTCTAGCGTACCGCTTCCACCACACACTCTCCGAATGCCGTCGACGAGAGCGAAGCAGGCCTGCAGTACAACGCGATTTGACTACAATCCACAAGTGCCGTTCCAATTGGCATGACACCACAGTCTCTTTCTATCGTGTTGGTACATGTCGTCGACTAGTTGATTTGTCGGTAGCCCTCGCGGCGCCGCGAGCCCATGCCAAATCCAACGCCGACGCCAGCAAACAGTCCAACGAGAACGAGACCAACCCAGCCCCAGACGGTGTCGTCGCGATCGGTTGGAACCATCGTTGGCATGGTCTGCTGCGGCTGTGCGGCCTTGGTAAAGTACCCCACCGACTGGAGCCACCACTGCGGGTAAAACAGCGACGACATCGCGATCGCGCTGGCGTTGGTCAAGTTGTGCATGTGGTAGCCGTCGTGAAAGGTTGTGACGAGGCGCCCAAATAGATCCACAAACGCGGCGTGGGTCGTCGCTGCAAACGAGTCGCACGAGTCGGTCAGGAACTGGCGAATCTGAATCTCGTCGTTGCCGAGCCACTCGACGTGGGCTGCAACGCGGGCCGACTTTGCGTCGAGAAATGCTGACTCGAGGTCGACTTGAACAGCTTCCACCATCGATCGTGTGTGCACGTAATATCGCGACGCCCAGTTGCCAACGACCGCAAACGCCCAGAACGACGTGTTGAGATCGTACCGGTGCAGGGACCCGCGAGAGTACAGCATGGGCACGTGGTCCACGTTGGTGTAAATCGGAACGTAGGAAGTGGCATGGGGGCCGTACTGGCCAAACAAAATATGGCCCAACGCGGCGTTCGTCGCGTTCGGGACCGTCACGAACGAGTAACTCGATCGAAAGATCGAGATCGCACGCTCGAAATGCCCCGTCAGCGCCATCGATTTTGTCATGTTGCCGTTCATGTTGATGTCTACAAAAACAAACGCATGCGACGTTGTCAGGTTGCACGGTCTCGAAACACGATCGCAAAACATTTGCGCCATCGAGCAGACATGCATCCGCCAGTGCGTGGCCAAAACGAACGCCGACGACGGAGGAGCGCGTGGACAGCCATACCATAGCGATCGGGGTCGCCGTACGGTCCTGCGGCCGGGCCTTTCGTCATGTCGTACTCGGTGCCTTCAAAATGATCTCGCAGGTACGACAGCAATGTCGACGGACCGACTGGGGTAGCAACCTACGAGAGATCTCGTTCGTTCAACCACGATGCATGGATTCGCGTGACGACGTACAGGAGCTGTCACTGGGTAATCCGACCCGTAGACGTCCGTGACGGCAGGCAGGTTGAGCGCCGGGTTTGCAAGCGACAGGATGCGCCATTGGCGGCGAGTGGCGTAGTACTGATCGGGCTGGATCGGATGTGCATACGCTTTTGTGAAATCAAACGCGCCGTCGGTCGACGGATCGTACAACTTGGCGCGGATCGCGACGTCTACCATGTTGGATGACCCCATGAACTGGTCCGAGTCGGTCAAGTTCACGCCACGAATGATAAACTGGTTGCCAATTGCTGCCAAGTGGCTGTCGGGCACGCGCTGCGCAACCCACACCGCAGAAGCACCAGAATCGTCTGGGTGGATGTGAAACAGCCAGATTTCTTTCGTGTCAGCGACCGCCAGCGCCTCGCCAGCTTCCATCATCGCCGCCGGCCCTTGCCATTCCGCGCCGTAGTACCCATACTGCACCGCCAAGTCACCCATGATTTGAATCGCTTCGCGGGCACTCGTTGCACGCTCCATGGCGATGTTCGTCAACTCCGACACGTCAAAAAGAGCCTTGCCTCCGTCCGAGACTGGCACCGACACCAGTCGACCGCCGCACGTCGACTCCCCGATCGACACTTGGTGCTCGTTCATGATGCCGTACAGCCCCGACAGGTACCCAAATGTTGTGTTGACTTGAGGAATTTGGCCGATCGCGGGGGTGTTGGACCAGTTGAAGATCGATTTATCCACATTGGCTTCGCGGAAGACGTCGCCACGCGCTTCGCCGACTGGAGCGATCGTCAAAACATGGATCAACGAGCATGACAAGCGTACCATAGCGCGGGTATTGCAGGCGAAAGCGAACGACATCTCGCATCGCACCGGGTGCAAATGTCTTTTGGGGAACCTTGCCAAGCCGAAAGTCGCAGTTCCCGCAGTCAGCGCTATGGACAGCCATGGGCGCACCGGTCGTCGACGCCTACAATCGAATCCACACGTGTTGGAAAGCACGTTCATTGCAGCCATGACGTACCTCCTTGCCAACAGCCACAATCGTGCAAGCCATAGCCGACGAAACAAGGGCGGCAGTGGCCACAAGAAGGTGGGCGCAGGTCAGCATGCCAGTGAAGCTAGTGACCACGAAGCCAAGGAATGTCGAGTGGCTATGGCCTGATGGCTGCTGCGTTGGCTTCAAGGTGTGTCGATGGACGTGTTGGGGCACTTCAAGTGGCGTACGTACAGAGGATGTACAATGTGTATCGTTTTGATATATTAAACAAGACGTACAATGTTTGTATTGTAAGAGATTTTGGTGGTGCCCCGACAAAGGATCGACCCCGTTGCATAATTAACGCAAGTGAAAATTCCAATGAGCCAACTGCAACTTGAGGCTGAAACAGGAAATGTCCTCATTTAAGCCAACACCGCTGGGTTGGACAAGGATTCCTCGATTCAACGCACACTCTCTTCATTTGCGAGAACTGACAAAGATGACGAAGTGGTGGGGGATGTCAGCGCCGCTCCACGTCAATTCCATTGCGTTCTCCCTGTATTAGAGCTCTTTGCTCTCGTGTTATGCATCCATTCTTCATACCTTGCCTTACTATACATAGAGCAACAAACCACGATCCCGATTCGCATATGCGGTCAATTCAAGCACATTGTGGACGCGGCAGCGAGATTTTTGCAGACAGTACCAGAGAACTGAGCCACCCACGTAGATGCCATTGCGATTTCTCCTCCGTACACGTTGCCAATGCACGAAATTTGCCATACCTGCTTCAGGATGTGGTCGTAAAAGCAGTCTATCGTGACCATGCACGGGAGCTTTGATGTTTGGGACGAACCACAGCGGGGGTAGTCGCGCACAAGACTGCCCCCGACCTCGTTTTATGGTGGGAAGCCCAACTCCTCAGCTGATTGAGCAGCCCTAGACTTTTGTGTTACTTTGAATCCTTGCATGATGCGGGCGCACGAATGACAACGATTCCACTCGTTGTAACAAACCCTTCAAGTGCGTGTCCCCTAGGCGAAAGTGACAATATTGGGAAAGGTGGAAGCAAAAGGTGTCTTGGTGCTCAAAAGGGACTGCATCGCTCCGTGAACAAGCGCTATAAAGCATGTTGAAGCGAGTGGGCAGCGTGCCAAGTCCATCGTTTCTTCGCACTGGCGATTCCCTTGGCGAGTATATCCCTGTATCGATGGTGAATCCAAATTATAGATACATTGGGATAAAGTCGAAAAACCTGTGGCCGCCGTCGTGAAGTATTCAATAAAATTACATACCAATATGTATATATAACGCCCGCTTTTAATCTTCAATTCGCTCCATGCAGCATATCCTTTCCATTCTCGTCGTCGCATGGCCGATTGAGACTGTCGCAGCAGGTTGGTCCAAAACTCGATGCGAATCGCGATTGCCATCGTTGCCATCGCGTGTGCCAGCGTCGCAGGGCGCTTCGTCGATCCAGAGAAGTGCACGGCCATTCTCGTTGGTGCGAAGGTGAGCCTTTTCTCATGGACGTCCGATCGTGTGAGATCTACCGCAGGCATCTGCGACCGGCTCGCCCATGACGACGCAAACGAACGACTGCGCGGACTGTGACTTTCGTCTGGTCAAAGTGCCCGCGAAGGACCACGTGCCAGGTTCAGTGCGACCTGTCATCTTGGTCGGTCAACCGTATCCTCGCTACGGTGCGTCATCGCCTGCCTCCTCTGACGACTCGAAATCTTACTCCGTTTGAATTCATCTCGCAAGTTGGCGAAGACCGCGGACCGACGTACTCAAAGGCGAATCTGGACAAGTCGCTGTTCAATTGGACTGACACGAAAGCGATTGGGTCGATTCCGCAGGTGAACCATACGTACGGCTACGTCGAAGGCGTGTACGGCATCATGAATGAGCATCAACTTGGAATCGGCGAGTCGACTTGCGGCGCCAAACTATGGACCAAACCCGTGAGTCATGGCGGGAAAGCACTATTGGACATCACGGAGCTCGGTCGGATTGCGTTGGAGCGCACCAAGACTGCGAAAGAAGCGATCCTACTCATGGGACGCCTCGCCGAGCAGTATGGGTACTACGGCGCATCGTGGGACTCGGCTGACGGCGCCATGGACGAGGCGGGCGAAGCTCTGACCGTGGCGGACCCGAAAGAAGGGTGGATGTTCCACATTTTGCCCGACGATTCGGGAACGTCGGCAGTGTGGGTCGCGCAGCGTGTACCAGACAACCACATCACGGCCATCGCGAACCAGTTTGTGATCCGCCACATCAACTTGACCGACTCGGACAACTTTTTGGGCAGCTCCAACATCTTTGACGTCGCAATACGCAACGCGTTTTGGGACAGCACCACGCCGTTTGACTTTACAGCGGCATACGCTCTTAGAGAATCCAACCCGTACACCATGACACGGCGTGTGTGGCGCATCCTTTCGCTCGCCAACTCGACGATCGATCTCAGTCCCTTCACGGATGCAATTGCCACCAACTACCCGTTTTCAGTCCAAGTAAGACAACGCCTTTTCAAGCATGGGCTCTACGTTTGATTCGATTCTCAACGATGGGGTGTCGCCAGACGGACCGACCGGTGACCCCCGCCGACTTAATGCGATTCCAGCGAGATCACTACGAAGGCACGCCCTTTGACTTGACGCAAGGGCTAGCTGCTGGCCCATACGGCGATCCCAACCGCTTCAGTACGTCACCGCATGCATTTGGTGGTGCTGTCGTTGTTGTCCGGCGCATGCCAAGTGGAAGAGTGCAAGGCTGACTGTGCCGAGAATGGCTCGAGGGGTTGAATGTCCCGTTTTCGACGGTTCTGGTGTCTTTCTGCAGCGTTGTTCTGTCGTCTCTGTCGCTTATCTCCTCCGTCGTGCAGGCCCTGGCCACGTCGTTCCGGGCGGATCGTTTGAGCGCTCGATTTCGATCTACAAGGCCACGTACTCTTACGTGACGACTGCTCATCCCACCAACGAGAACCAGGCCGTCGTGTGGTGCGTCAATGCTGTCTCGCTGTCTTTGCAGCATGGTTTGAGTGGTTTGCCCTACTTATGGGGATGATGTGGTCATTCAGTGCTTCCTGGCCATTCATTTGGAATACGTGGAATCTTTTTCTTATGGCCGTGTACATCTCAGGTTTGGGCCGTACGCGCCGTCGGACACAGCATACTTTCCGATTTACCCGAAAGTGAGTGCCGTGCCGGACGTCGCGTCGCGCGGGTCGCTGCATGCGTTTGATATGTCGGCAGCATTTTGGCTGAACGCGCTGATCGGGAACTACGCGTCGCGATATTACAAGTTCACACAGCCCGTCGTGCGCGCGGAGCAGCTCCGCATTGAAGCTAAAGCACTCGAGGGTAACGAAATCCTCTCGAATCCTGCAATTATCCACGTCGCCCTTGTCGTCACATGTGCGGGTTGTAGCCCAACCCGCCATCCACGACAAGGCTCTGTCGATTTTCCAAAGCCAAGGAGACGAAGCCCTCGAGACGTACCTCACCAACGTGTGCACGTCGTTTGCCGCGGACGCCCATTCGAGTTTTACCGCGCTCTTTTCATCCCTCGTCACGCAATTCCATGACGGGTACATCATGTCCAACTTGACCGGCCAAGAGATCGGTGTCACGGCCATGGGTTACCCTCCATGGTGGCTTGATGCCGTCGGATACTACAACGCGACTCGGGGGCCGCCGACAATGAACAGCGGCAGCGCATTCCTCGCTGTCCTGGGGTATGTCGTGCTCGTGTTTTTGGCTCTCGCCGTTGGATTCGTCGTCGGCCAACGAGCCGCTCGATCCAAAGGATATGCATACATCAAGTAGTTGGATGCCCCGTGACGTGAATGCCAGCCATCTTGATGTGGCTTCTCGATGTCATCTCGGCAACTACCCAGCATGCATCTCTCCGTAAATCGACAAAGAACGTGGAGGGCCAGCGCTTGCCTTCACCCATAAAAATGGCCTACGGGGGATGATGGTGGCCCTCTACATGAAGCGAGCCGACGGCTCTGCCTGAGGCCATAGACCCCTTGCATGTAACTATGACGACAGCGCCGCCGCCTCTCCGTGGCATCAAGTTAAAAGGACTCGGTGTACGGGTCCATATTATTGAATGAATGCATATCCGCGCTTTAGCTTGATAGACGCCCGCTGGCCCAAAATGAATCCTGCCGCCATGGCGCCGACTACCAAGACACAAAACGCCGCGATGATTCCGCCAGATACATACACGTTGCACGGCGAGTCGTCGAGTCCTGCCTGAGTCGAGTTGTAGTACCCGACGGAATCGAGCCACCACGTCGGGTAACCCATGTACTGCACACTGAAGGAGTGTTCGGTCGATTTGATCACGACGCTTCCATTGTGAAAGCGCGTGACGAGGTCCTGGAAGAGGGCGGTCGCCGCTGCGAGACCCGTCGAGGCAAATTTGTTGCTCGCTCGCGTGAGGACGCTAGTGACGCCGACATCGCCTTCCTTGGCTAGAGCGGCTTGGGCCTCGTCATAAACGACTGCCAGTTCTGTATCCACAGCATGAGAACAAACCATCGCGTGAATTGCTGCGTGGGTTGCGCAGCAACGTAACGCACCAGCGACGTCTTCCACGCGCCGTTGGGTGTCGGCCATGACGGGACGGGTAAATTTGTACCACAACGACGCGTAGTTGCCGACAGCGAGATTCGCCCAGAACAATGACGACGAGTTGAACTGGCGAAGGGACCCTCGACCTACTTCAGCCGGGACGTCGGCGGTTCGGACGAAAATCGGAACGTAAATCGTCGCGTGTGGCGCGTACGGTCCAAACCTAGCCATCACGATCAGGAATTCGCCATGTTTACTAATGGATCTGAAGTGGACCATGGGGTGCTACGTACCAGAGGAAACCGAGGTTCACGTTGGTCGGATGGATCGATGTGACGAAGGTATAAGTTGCGTCGTAGATCGAGATGGCTCGCTCAAAGTGCCCTCCGTTCCGATTTGACCCGACACCTGGGGATCGTTGGTTTAGCTGGGCAAACGACCTCGACCCTGGCGGTACCATAACGATTCGGGTTCCCATACGGGCCAGCAGCAGGACCTTGCGTGAGATCGAATGGGGTGTTTTCGTAATGGTCGCGATGATATCGCATGAGATCGGCGGCGGCGAGCGGTTGGGCCACCTAATGGCAAGGGCATCGCGTCATGGCCATGACGTGCCAATCGACCAGGGACCACATCGCCACTTTCGCTTGACATACCTCGACCGAAAAGGGATAACTCGTGGCGAAGGCGTCGGTGGTCGGTGACAGATCCAGGGCGGGGTTTGCCAGTGTGAGCACTCGCCACACTCGCCGCGTATGTCCGTATGGCCACGATGGTCGTAGTCCAAACGCCACCGTGAAATCGAACGGCCCTGTCGCGGGGTTCCAGAAACCATTGCGTTCCGCGATCTCGTGCATGTTGGTGGACCCCATAAAGTTGTCCGTGTCCGCCAAGTTGACCTGGTGAATCATAAATTCATTTGCAACGACCGTGATGTGCGTATCGGGCACGCGCTGCGCAACCCACACGGCCGACGCGCCAGAGTCGTCGGGTAAGATGTGAAACATCCACGCTTCTCCTTTGGCATCGGCGATCGTGAGGGCTTCGCCGGCGCTTTCCCGTGGATCGCTTCCATCGTTGTCGTCCCAATTTGCTCCGTAGTACCCGTGGGTCTCGGCCATTCGACCCATGAGGGCAATCGCATCGCGTGCCGTCGACGTCCGCTCCAGCGCGAGACGACCGAGTTCGGTGATGTCAAAGTAGGCCACCCCACCGTGACCGATCGGCTTGGACGCGAATTTGGCTCCACACGTGCTTTCTCCCATTGCGAGCTGCTGGTCGTTCATGATGCCGTACACGCCTTCGAGGTACCCATACGTGTAGTTGACTTGGACAATTTGGGCAATCGGGATCGTGTCCGTGTACTTGATAAAGCCACCGTCCGGGGCCTGGATGGGGTCCAAGTGGCTGCGCGAGTAGCCGGAACCTCTTGCGTTCCCGACTAATACCGCAACGTTTGTGAGACCTCGTCGTCGATTGCTTGATGGAGTATACCATAACGCGGGTATTGCGATGAAACGAGCACAACGTCGCGCATTGCGCCAGAGGCATGCGTCATCGGATGCACCTTGACCAGGCGAAAATCGCAGTCCGGGCAGTCGTTGCTGTGGGTCGTCATGGGTGCTCCTGTCACGGATGCCTACACGACGGTGCTGTCAAACCCAATGATCGTGGACCAACCGACCTTAGCTCCAACGAGGATGGCCGTGCACCGGTCTTGGTGATCATTCGCCAGAGTTGACACAATAGTGGCAACAGCCACGGCGGCGGCAAGTCGTCGCATGATGGTTGACCAAATGTCAAAAGTGGAAAGGGCGGAAGATCGCAAATCGAAACCCCCTAAAGATCGCGTGCTTTCTCACGGTCAACCTCCCCCAACTTCAATGTCTACGTAAGCCTTAATTTTGACTATTTTAGTCTACCAAGGTGTGTGATGGGCAGCCAACGTGGCGCAGGCAAGGTGACATCGATCGAGGCACCGCTGTTCGCATCGTCTGTTAGTTTATGTTCCACCGACAAATACATCAACAGAAGTTGGCCGCTAGTCGGACAATGGACGTTGCCTTCCGTCCAATTTGCAAGTCATGCCGCAACCCCCGTGCAGGGCCGGAACATCCAGACGCGGCAAGTACATGAATTACTCGGAGTCGCAGCTTAGATAGGTCAGGTGGAGCTCTTGTGTAGAAAGCTCGCGACAACGAGAGTTGAAATCACCTTGCGTTGCTGCCTTTCTTGCTCCTCTCTATGAAAAGGGCGCAGATTCCGGATATTAACCGGCCAATACCGCTTGGCGATTGGTTGGTGGCGCTGCGAATCGACCTGTGTCATTTGATAGAATATGCATTATTATAGTATATCCACCGTTCTTGATGTGATGGTGGAGCTATTGTTACACCACCGCCACGAGCGCCACCACGATGGTCACTGCGTCGGAAGCAAAGAAGGTCGAACCTCCGCGAGGTGTGCCTGTGAGCGGCCGGTCGTGGAAAAAGCCACAGCGCGCAAAGAACTCGATGATGACGTTCAAAGCGACGAAGACGCTGAGCACGACGTGGGACGAAAAGATGGCGGCCAAGGCCAAGAAGAAGGAAATGAAGGAGCTCGAGCACGAGATCGCGAACCGTAAAAAACAGGAAAAGATTGACAAGCGCGTCGCTCGCGAAGAGAAGGAGAAGCGACGCATTGCCAACGAATTCAAGGCGTCGACGCTGCAAGTGATCAAGAAGACGCACAAGCTCAAGACCATGAGCAAGAAGCAGCTGCGCAACATCAAGAAGACACGCATGAACAAGAACGGCGAGATCGAGCTCGTCCCGGCGTACTCCAAGTAATAGGTCTTATTTTACTTAACGTTATATCCTCACTCTTCCACCATGCGGTTCTCCATCACGTGCCGTTGACGGTGTCATCACTTCGATGCCGCGCAATTCCAGCGAACAATCCGGATGGTTGTATCCGGATTCTCCTTGCTGGCCAACGATTGGCTCCTACCTAATAACGAGATGTCGCTGGTGGCGCCGTCAAGCGTTTGCCTTCGCGGCACAGCGGTCACGCACTTCAACGTCGATCCTGAGGCGCTCCAGCTGCCGGCGGACGAGCAAGACTACGAATATGTCTTGGACTGGTACGTGCGCGCTCGTCGTGCTTTCGTTCAAGCCTCCAACAGGATGTGACGTCCTTGTTTAGCAAAACCACAATGTCCAAGGAGCACGCGCTGCTCGCTTTGTCCGATCGAACGATTCAAGCGCGCAGCCGAGCGACACTATCGTGTGAGCGGCAATTCGAAGCACACTCGGACACGATCAACGAACTCGTGGTGTCGGAGACGCAACCGTGGAGCGTCATCTCGGGGTCCAATGATGGAACGATCAAGGTGTGGGACCTACGCCAAGCCCAGCCATCCGCTGTGCAGACCATTCGTGTGGGCGAGGAAGTGTGGAGCTGCTCGGTCGGTTGTGGGGATACTCTGGTCGTGGCGGCTGCAGCTGACTCGGCCGTGTTCTACGACTTGCGAACACTTCGCAAGGTACGGTTGCATGTCGGGTCGCCTGGCTGAACGGTGACATGTAGTTGGGTCAATACGGAGAATCGCACATGGACAACGTGACCCGCGTCCAGTTTCACCCGCTGCGGCGGTCGGAAGTGATCACTGCTAGCGACGACGGCATCGTGTGTTTGTTCGACTGTACGATTGCAAACGAGGACGACGCGACCATTTCTACCATCAACGTTGAGAGCTCCGTGTCGCGGTTTTGCATGTTTGGGCCAGACTCGCACAACATTGCGTGCCTGACCGGATCGGAAACGCTCGACGTGTGGAATTTGACGACGGCCGAGCGGCTCGCGCACTTTTCAACCATTCGAGACCAGTGCAGTGCTGCGCCGGTACGACAAATGCTGTGTATGGTGGCAGTGGTTGCTTTTCGCGATGGAGGGTCATGCGGTCGCGATTTTAGATGCTGCACACAGATTTCCTCGTGGATTGCAAGTACGACCCGACAACGGACCAACTCCACTTGGCCACAGGGAATCACCAAGGACAACTCAACTTGTTCCAGCTGAACCCCCAAGCTGGAATTTTGCACGAAGCCACGCTATCTGGTGGCCACAAAGCCGCCATCCGGTGTCTGGACTGGCATGATGACATGCTTCTCACGGGCGGTGAAGATGCCCGCGTGTGCCAGTGGATGCCGCTTCAGCAAGCAACGAATCACTCGGTCAGCTCTAGCAACGGCCGACACGCCATACGGTCGTCCGTCGAGCGAGACATAAGTGGCGCGAGGCGAGCGAGACAAGCCTCTCGCCCGTACTAATCATTCCAAAACCATGTGAATAAAGAATTGCACGGAACATGACCTTTAGCACTGGCTTGCACAGCAGTGCGAAAAGTATCTACCAGCAGTTGTCCGTAGAGCGAGATCGTTCGCTTACACTGCCAGTGATCGAGAATTATGCCAGTCTCGGTGGTGTGTTTCAATTCGGCAGCAAGTGCCATGTGCTTGCTTTGAAGTCGTTGGCTTGCTGGCCAAGACCCCCAGTAGCCGTACGTGTTGGCAAGCGTCGAGAGGGGAAGCAATTCGTTTTCCCCTGCGAAGCAACGTCATCCACATGGTCGAAGACAACCCATATTATCGCGCCACATTGATGACTGGGCTGTCACTGTTCGGAGATATGGAATGCCTCGATGTTGAAGAAAGTGAAGCGGGTACGAGCCGCCATGCGAAGGACTGGATGCGCGATGGCTCGAATAAAGTTGAAACATCAAAAACGCTTTGTGGGATGCATGTGGCGCATTTGGCGAGTTTCGGTCAATGCATGGTCGGTCTGACCGTTGCGAAACCGACACATTGTGATCTGGCAGCGGTTTTTGCCACCGCGGTGACGCCAGCCCCGAAAGATCTTGCACGACCTCCATCGTTAGCTCGTTGGCGTCGATCCCATGGTCTTTCAACATGTCATTTGCGATTATACCTCGTTGCTGTTGATCTCACGTACACCATGCGACGAGTTGCTCCGATCGCAGCCGCTGCCGTGTTCGCTACCGCGGTCGACGCAGTTCACATGTCGACGTCGATTCTTGTGGGAGCCCGGGCGTCGGCCACTGGCGCGCCGCTGACTGCACATTCGCTGGACTGCAGCGACTGCGACTTTCGCCTCGTCAAAGTGCCCGCTGCGCAATACTCGGACAGCTCGGCCTCCGACTTGACTCGCGACGTGTTCTTGACGTCGTCGCAATATCCTCGCCATGGTAAGCTCGTGCATGGCCATGCATTTCCCGGTCGTGTGCTCACTTCCATGCTGCTCTGTTATGTAGTCGGCTCTAGCCGGGGACCAGCGTACTCTGTCGCGACCCTTGAAAACGACAACTTCAACTGGACTGAATCGACGCCGATTGCTCACATTCCTCAAATACGCGAAACTTACGCGTACTTGGACGGCGTCGTTGGCATCGCAAACGAGCTCCAGCTGTCGTTTGGTCACAGCAGCTGCGGCGCCAAGCTCGCCGCCCGCCCCCTGACGCAGGGAGGGAACGCCGCGTTTGACATTGCCGAGCTCACGCGGGTCGCGCTGGAGCGCACGGCCACCGCGCGCGACGCCATCACCCTCATGGGAAAGCTCGCGGAAAATTATGGGTTTTACGGATCGTCCTGGGGCGGCGACGACATTTACTCGGGCGAAGCATTGACCGTCGCCGACGCAGCCGAGGCGTGGATTTTTCACATTTTGCCCGACGATTCAGGGGCGTCCGCCGTGTGGGCCGCACAGCGTGTACCCGACACGGACGTCGCGGTGGTGGCCAACCAGTTTGTCATTCATTACGTGAATTCCACCGATTCCGAGTGGTACATGGCCTCTACCAACTTGTACGATGTCGCCACTCGCAGCGGGCTCTGGGACGGCGCGGACGTCGACTCGTTCGACTTTGCCGTCGTTTATGGGCAGCTCCCACCGTCTTCAGTGGGGTCCACCCGCCGCGTTTGGAGAGTCTTTTCGCTCGTGAATCCAGCGTTGGAGCTGTCGTCCGAAGCGGACCCGTATGCCATCACGTACCCGTTTTCCGTCCCTGTAAGAACGTTTGCTGCCACTTCTCAACGCGCGCGTGCTCATCACACATGCATCGATTGTGTAGGTGCAAGATGAGTCGACGCTGGCGGCCATGGACTTGATCCGATTCCAACGCGACCACTATGAAAACACCCAGTTCGACTTGACCACAGGCGTGGCGGCTGGGCCGTACGGAAGCCCCGATCGTTTTGGTAATAACCTTTCTAACGCGGCGGCCGCTAACGCAAGGATCGGTCGTAGCGGTTGACTCGGAGACGGCGCAGACAGGTCGCTTCGAAACGCCGATTGCTGGTGGCCCGTCGACCACGTATTCGTACGTGTCGGTGTCGGACCCGTACTCGGACTACAACGCGGTGCTGTGGTACGTTCCAATTGCCGCGCAACGTCGTCAGTTCATGGCATCGGCGCGACTAGGTTTGCCCCCCATGCCCCCACGTCGGCGTCGTACATCCCCGTGTACGTCAAGGTGACGGACGTTCCTGCCGTCATCGGCATGGGATCGTTGCGCCAGTTTGACATCTCGTCGGCATTCTGGCTCAACTCGGTTCTCAACAACTATGTCGGTCGGTGGTATCAAAATGTAAACCCTGTCGTGGCGGACGCGCGTGCGCTCGCCGAGTACAACACCGACACTGGTGAGTGACTTGCCTCGCATGCCATCGCTGGCACAACTCGTCCTCTTCTGGCACGTATTCGAATCGATTCATCGTGTTGTAGCTCAAACGGCGGTCCAAGCGGCGGTCCAAGAAGTGAAGTCGAATGTGGGCGACGCCGCCGTCATTGATTTTTTGACCAAGACCACGGAGGGATACGCGAACGATGCCCAGGCTGCGACGATGGACTTGCTCTCGGACGTGATCACCCGCTTCCACGATGGATTTCACGTGTCGGGCTTTGAAGACGAAGTTCTGACGGTGGAACCCATCAGTTACCCCGCGTGGTACCTCGAGTCGGTGGGGTATTTTACCACGTCCAGCGGTGACTCGACGGATGGCGTCCAGACGGAGAACCCAACTGTGGACACGGAAGAGCCCACGACTATGATCCCTGCTGCCATCACAATCGTGAAAGCTGCTGGACCTCCTGTCACTGTTGGCGTCGCCAAGGTTTCGTCGACGAATGTGACGACAGGAGCGAGTGCTGGCTGCCCCGACATTGCACACGTCCAGAGCAGCGCTTGGGGCGCTGCGGTGATCATCGTGTTTGCGTCCATGCTTGTGGCTACATCCGCTCTTGGTTACTACTTCGGCAAGCGCCAAGCATTGATGCGCACCCGAGGTTATGCTTATATTCAATGAGACGGTTGACGGCATGTGAATGGCATGCCACCAGGTAGTGGACGCGTAGAAGACGTTTAAAACTCAATTCAAATGCGTTTAAAATACACTGCCGAGGTACACTTTGTGGCTGTATGTTGCGATCGATTGCTACTCCTCTCTCGGTCGGAAAGCTTTGCCGCGCAATGATGCGTCCATGCGTTTGAACGAGCTCTTTGTGTAGCTTGTTTGCATATTCCGTGTTGTAGATGGATTAACTTGGGAGCAACTTGCAGGTCGCTGTGTGTGAATTTAGAATACATTTTACCACGTCTTGTAGAGGTTTCAAACACTCGTACACCATTCTCAAATGGCATCCGTGGTGCACACAGCAAACACCAGCGGCGCTTTCGACGTGGCTGAAGAGGGAGCCGCTCATGCGACTGCTCGAGATGCCTTCGTGATCATGTCAACGCTTCTTACGCCTTCTGTGTCACGTGCGTACTTGGACTTGTGCTCGCAAATCCTTCAAGAGCGACACATTCGTGATGTGTTTGAAGAGCGATCGGTACAACACCGATGTGGATGGCCAATGTGTCGCGAATCCATCGCGAATCGGTATGTGATGCAAATCACACAAAATGCTCATGTAATGCCAACAGGCGGCAACAAAAGTACCGCGTGTCCTTGGCCAAGCATCAAGTGTACAACGCCCGCGAGGAACAGCAGTTCTGTGGTGCAGCATGTCTCGAGGTTTGTGTTCATTCAGGTTCCATCGTACTTCTTCGTTCGAAACTGATCGCTTTCTTGGAGTGTGCAGGAGGCACGGCAGTATGTCGCGTCGCTACCGATCAAACCGCCTCAAATGCTTCCATCGCTTGTCCAGGTGTTTGGGACATCCAAGCCCCATCCAAAAGACTACGACGATACCGAGGCACCAACAACTTCTCCGAACTCGCATGCGCCTCTAGCGAAGCGTCCCATTGTCGGTCCGTCTACCTCTTCTCGCAGAGGTCTTTCCAAAGGCCCAAAGGTCGTCTGGGCCAAACAACCTGGCATGGGGGTCGTTGAAAAGCAAGTTCAAATTGTTGAGAACACGGCGCCTCCACCAACCTCGACTGACTTTAGCCAGTCGAACGCGGTCCTCATTGAAGGCTACGTGTTCCCTGTCCATAAAGCGAAAAAAGCCACCAAGCTCGCCAAGCAGATGCAGTCGGCAGGTCCCCCACTCGACACATCGCAAGACGTAACTACAGAATGCGCCGAGGATGGAGAAGAGTTAACGTCCGACGAAGGCAGCAGCTCCGAGTCGTCGTATGTCGACGACGACTCTTCCAGTGAAGACAGCGACGGCAACGTCGATACGTTCAGTGCTGCCGACTTGTCTCCGTTTGCAGCGCTCTGGTGGAAGGTCAGTGAGATGGTGACACCTACGACGCTGCAGTTGGTCGCGACATGGCACGGCCATGGCAATGTAAACCCTGTCGACGCCCCTATCGCATCGTCCACCGACTTGGACAACCGTCGGCTCCTCTTCGGCACGTTTTGCATGAAGCAAATGCCCTCGGTCATCCAAGCATGTCAAAAGGAATCCGATGACCGAGGCCAGTCGCCACTTCTCACGAATGATCGCGGCGTGCAGATGACCATCAACGATATCGTCCAGACGCTTCATTTGCGCCAGCCGATCGAAGGCACGCGGGTGCTAGAGGTAGGCGGTTTACACTGAAGCAGGCTGACCAGGGTGGAATCGGTAGTGGAATGCCATGTGCCTGTTGCTGTTGCTCGTGGTGCACCGCCGAACGCCGACGACGTGGGAAGACGCGATTTCTCCGTAGGCGCATCTCGTTCCCAATATTGCGAGTCATTTTTCAACGTAGCGAGTCGCTGAAAACTCTCACTGGCCTCGACGTGTACGAGATGCACCAACTGATTGGAGTATTCTGTGAAACCATTCCAGTTTATGTCTTGGCGGATCAAATGGAGGGACCTGCGTCCTCTATCAAGGCGAACACGGCGGCAGACACCACCTCAACGGTTCGAACTCTTGTGCCGTTCATTTTCTCTGACCTTGACGGATGCACAGGCGTCTGGAGCACAATGCCGAAAGTGCCGCCACCGCACTTGTCAATGCAAATCAAAAGCAGCCAAAGGCGACGACTGGAGTGAATTCTCCGACGCCGAAATTGCCGCCATGATGCAGGAATCCCTTCAGATTCAAGAAATGACCGAGTTTGGCGCGTTGGACTGATCCAGGCAATCAACGACATTTGAAGGGTATGCAACGAATTCCTTTTGCATCGGGTAACACCACGCAAGTGCCACTTTGGGGCGAAATTACAACACCTTTCGCCACTGTGATCCAAATGACAT